CCTTATTTATTGTCCATCTGACACACAAGGCTCTCTAGCAATCGTTGGATGCTCAGGCTCCAGGGCAGGAAGAAGTTCCTTGGGCAAGAGGAAGGCTGGAAGATGCAATCTGAAGTGATGAAAAGCCGATAGTTCTGGGACCTCTCAGTGATGAGGGCTCAACATGAGGGAAACCAGCAGCTCTTGGAGCTTTAGAACAAGCCGTGCCCCCATAATGTCCCTCTGCCTTCCCAGGCCAGGAGGATTGTGGGCTGCGGTATGGATGCTCCGGTTGGAGCTGTCTGTGGTGCCCCCTCTGGCCAGCATCCCTGGTGACACAGAAGCTGGCTTCTAGGAGAGCTGGCTTCCAGTTCTGGTTCGTTTGGTGGTGCTTCACCCCTACCTCTCCCAGGCACTGATGTGAGGGATGTAATTTCCTGACAGGATGTTTGAGTGCCATTTGTGGAATGCCCTCTGCCTCTTTGATGCATCGCATGTATGTGAGGAGTGAGAATGGGAGTACAGGTTCTCTCCTCCCCATCTCTCTCTCACGCGCATGCGCGCACACGCATTCACTGCAGAGCTGTCTTTGATTTCATGGGAGGTAGCCGTGGGGTGCATTTGGTGCTAGTGATTCCCTTTGCTGTTCACTTCCCTCTGCCCTCATAAAGCAGCCTCTGTGCAAGCATGCCAGAGAAAGGATCTTTGTCCTGTAACGACAGAAGTACTTAGTGTATCTTCCATGCGCTTTGCCTTCAGCCTGGCTCGCCCTGTTTACACCTTGAGCAGAGGTAGATGATCCGTACTCCTGACAGGTTTCATCCCAGTGCACTTTCCATTAACATCCTGGGCCCAGGGGAGCTAATAATAATTTCTGTATTGTAAAAATTAATTAGCACCGCGGCCGTTCATTTCTCAGGCATGATTAGAGCATTTCTAGCAGGGGTGACCTGATGACTCTGCGGCAGGAGCCACTGCAGCTTTGATCTGGCCTAGAAAACACCCCAAAGGCCCCAGCTCGAAATTTCTGTGGAGCGGAAGAGCAGAGCTGGAAAGCAGGATGCACGTGTTTTCCAGGGTGCAATAAAACTGGGAATATAGCAAAAGGGAAGTATCTGTGAGAAGAGAGGCTATCAAGCAGTTGGATAGGTTTGCACAAGGGAAAGGGTATTTAGAGAAGCAGTGAGGTGTAGTTCAATTACAGATCACATAATTAAAGGGACAAGATGTTGGGGAAGGAAGGAAAACACAGAGGCATTTAGAGCTGACAGACAGAGACAGTCTGTGGACAGAGAGGTGCGTGTTGAGCAGGCAGGAAATGTGTGTAGGAAGAAGATGCTCAGGGAAGAGCCACTGGAGAGCTTATGGGCAGCGAGTGGGCGAGTCAGACTGGATGCTGGAGAAGTGGATTCAAATGAGGTCAGATTTCTATGAACCAAACTTGCAGGTTCTGAAGCCGACTGGCTTTTTCCCAGTCATACGTGTTCTGCAGAGTTGTGGAGCTTGAAAAAAATGGGGGGGGGGGTGTATGTGCTAATGCAAGTGTGCTAATGCATATTAGTATGAGTGTATAGTGTAAATTGCAACAGCAGGGGGTGGGACCCAATGGCCTTTATGACCCGTTCCAGCTCTTCTATGAAGCGCAAATTAGTACTAATGCTTATTAATTAGCACAAGTGGAATGAAATTCTTGTACATTCTTGAAAAATACAGTTCCATTAACAAGCAGATGATGGAGTGGAAGGCACCTGATGATACTTGAAACACAGATGGAACAAAATCTGCACATCTCTAGTACAATCTTTGGAAGGAAGCTGCCCTGTTCTCTTCCAAAGGCTGGATGGGGTATGAGCTCAGTAGTGATAGAACCTCACTGCTGAGCCAGTGGGTGAGCCTTGGAGCCTCTTGCCATGCTAACTCACCCTTTCCAGAGGTTTTTGCTGTATCTTCGCATAGCAGTGGTGGAATGGATGTGATTTGAGCACATTAATGCACATTTAAGGCATACTGTGGCACATTTAGCCCATGGGTTTGTACCAGTGGCCCAGCACCACGGACTGAAATACTGGGAAGAGGCAATTGCGGCACAGGGAATTACGTCAGACCCTTTGTGTTTCAAAGGGAGGTGGAGAGGGAGCACCCCGGTACATGCGATTTATGGCTGGCTGGTGGCAGCATGTCTGCCCACTTCTTGCTCTTCACTGGTATGTTTCGGTCACTCTGGCCCACTTCCTGTGTTTGGCTGTTTGAAGGAAGGCACAGAGGAGTTGATGCAGGATTGAGAGAGAGCCCGGTTCCTCCAGTCCACTTCCACTTCTGTACCACAGTAGCTTTGCTCTGTTCGTTGTATGTCCCCTTTGCACTATTAGTGAATGGTAATTCCTCCTGTGTCTTTAGTGTGGGCAAGAAAAGGTCCCTACTTGCATGCAGGTCTTCCACTGAATTTGGGCACCCTGGTTGGCGCATACAGCTCATTTCTCTCCCTTGCGCAGTGTGTGCCTCCACTGGGAAGCACGGCCAGAGGTTGCATTCCTGTAGGAGGGGCCCTCTGGCCTGGATTCTCCCTTCCATGCTCTTTGGCTACACAGTGGAGCGGCAGGTGCAGGGAGGCCATACAAGCATCCCTGCTGTGTTTGTAGCAGACACACACATGCTACAAGCGCAGTGTATGCTGGATGCATACGTCCGGGCAAGCAGAAGGTCCAGGAGTTCAACTGTGTAACGTCTGATGTCAGTTTGGCATCCAGTTCCTCATGTGATCTGGGAGCAACCCAACATCAGGCGAGCCATTCTGGCCAGAACTTGGGCTAGGCCTGTGTGCAGGAAGTGGCGATGCTGAGAAGGTGACTAATGCCGTTTGAGTGCAATTAGAGTGGTGTGTTGGAAGCCTGCTGGGCAGGTGGGGGTGGCGACAGCTTGATTCTGTTGATCACAACTCAGCCGGGGTGGCACAGATGGGGCTGGAGGGGAAAGGGTGGCAGGCAGATGGAAGGGGGGGAATGCTGACTCCGTTCCCCCAGCTGCTTCATGGAGCATCATGCAGCCCCAGATCACGAGCAGCAGGGCATGGACAAATAGACGCATGCTCGAATGAGTCACATCTGCCCATCTCCTTGTGTCCAGGTCCTCCTATTGGTGAGCATCGAAGCAGAAGTATACTGTGAGCTTGTTTACACAGTTGGGCTACTGGGTTGTTGCAGAGGTTATTTCCAGTTTCCTAAGCTGAATCATGATCTCCTCATGCTTCATTTCATGTATCAAGTTTGTCACCACAGATCTGGGCTTGACAGGTCTGGAGACACCGAGCACCTGAAGTAGGGGATCTCCCACATGTTGAACCTCCCGTATTACAGTCACGATGTCCCACCTTTCCCCTTTCGGCCAGGCTTGCTGAGAGAGTCTCTTGTGTGGCTCACACTGCACACTTGCTTGAGATGACAACAGAACAGATGAAGTCGAGCCTGGTTGTCCAAGAAATGCCTAGAAAGGGCTTGGAAGGCATCTGGTCAAAATGCCTGCACAGAGGCAGAGTTCTCTGTCCCAATTATCTGTGCACAAACTTTTTAATGAAAACTCCGTATGTTGTTGCAAACTCATAGCACTGCAGTATGATGTCTGGCTTTCTTACTCTTTTCAAGCATGTGTGTGTGTGTGATGTGTGTGTATGTTTTTCACTTCAGCTGCAGTTGCAATGCCACCTTATTCAGTGTGAGCAGCCAAAGCACTATTGAGATTTGTCAGGGCTACTGAACCTTTAGTTAAACATTTCCTCTCTGTACCTGTTGTCTCCAATTGCTTTCTTTTCACCACTTCAGTTAGATTACTAATGGATTGGCTGCTAGTTAATTCTTGTTCTCTGCAGCAGGCGGTGGCTTTAATTACTGATACCCCTTTCTTTTTCCTTTCTTAATTCTGAAAAGACACTATTTTGCAATGAACAAATGTAATGCAATGAAACCAGCCAGGGTGGGAGTGAACCTGTGGTCCCCAGATGTTGTGGAGGCATAGGATAGCTTGGATTCCCAGCTCTGAAGTCAGAGGCAACACTCCACCTTCAGAGCTAGGAATCAGCGCTCCAGTCTCCCACCCCTTCCCTCTCACAACCAGCATTGAAAGAACCATACTAGCCTCTCTCTGAGGTCAAATAAGCAACTTTGGAGAACAGTCTTAGAAGAGGGGAGGGTTGGAAATGAAGGTGGACAGGCTCTAAGGTATCCTGCTCCTGAAGCTGCTCCACCCTCTCCTCTTCTTTGAATTAATTTCACAAAAAACAGAGCTTGAGATGTGGGGAATTGAATTTTGTCCCTGCTGCTCCTCACACCCTGCACTGGATCCCCATGAGCGTCTGGGTTCAGAGGCTTATGGGCACCCCCATAGGATTGTGCTGTAAAAGTAGATTGGTTGATAGATGTTGCAAAATATATAAAACTGGTATCGACTAACTAAGAGACAATTAAGCAGGAGTGCTGCTAGTATTCTGAACAGGAAACAGTTTGAGATAGAAGTTACAAAAAGAAGCTTTTAATTAAAGCGGCAGAGAATTTTTGTTGAATAGCACTTCCGAAGCAACATTGTGGAAAATAGTTAGCATTGTGGATTATATAGTGCTAAATCAAGTGCTGTTGGGAACTGCATTTTAATTCTGCTTTCAGCTGATTGTGGGAGTTCATCAATGACGAGAGTGGCAGTGTAGAAGTGATGCAGGCAAAGGGATACATTAAAGGTTACAGTGCAATCCATCAGGGAGTAGGGAAGGCCATGGTGATGTTTCCAAGGTGCCACTGGAACAATTGTGGTGGTGGTGGGGAGCCTCTGAAGAGTTAACCCAGTGGTGCTTTTTGCCGTGAGGAAAATGAGAAAATTCCACAGCTAATTGGACACTTCAGTGGATATTAGTGCTTAGAGAGGGAACACACTGTATCCTAGCCATTGTCTTAGCCTGGACTCTTATGTATTTTAGTTTTGTGGTTATCGAGTTTTATTACTTCCAAGACATTCTTCCTTGTTTCTTTCCATGTCAGGTGCTGATTCTTGCTGATGGGGATACAACCGGATTCTTGTACCGTCACCTGGGCTTCCTCTCCTCTCTGGAGAAGAAAGATGGAAAAGCCACTGCTTATCTGTGTGAAAACTTTGCCTGCTCTTTGCCTGTCACCTCCAGCCAGGACCTCCGCCGCTTGCTGTTGCCCTGAGCTGTCATCCATGGTAGCTGTCGCATCTCAATGGACATGAGACGAGAGAGCCCAGAATTTAACCAGACAGTGCTAGCTGCTTGGACATCACAATAAAGTTGCCTTCAGAATAGCCGGGTTGCAGCCATTTCTGTCTACCTGTTTCTGCTTTGATACCACCTTCCCCATGTTCAGCAGCCCATCGCTGGGGAGAAATGACTGTCCACCAGTATGTAAAGTCTGAATTTTAGCCCCATCTTCAGAGCCCCGAGCAGTGAAATTTTTTGTTTAAGGTGGCATGATTTCTGTATCATTGGAATTCCTGTTTCAGCCCTGGAGAGATGGTCATTATCATGTTTTGCAGGAATCTTATTGTTTAGCAACATCTCAAGATCTCTCACCTTCTAAGCCAAGGTTAAGGTTTCCTTCTTCCTCTGACCTTTATGTTTTGTAAAGGAAGTCAAGTCAGGCCCTTGAGGCAGGCACTGTCTCCAGGGCATAAGCATGAGGCAGAAAGGCTTCTGGAGCGAGGCAAGCCTGGGCCCCATGTGACCCCTTGGCATCATCCCAGCATGGAAGAAAGATGGGATACAGATGTAATAAATCAAAGTTTTGTGGGTGAGGACCATCCCTTTCCTGAAAATGAATGATATTCCTGTCAAATGATTTTTGTGATAACCGCAGGCTACATTCTTTAACTAGATCTCCACCTGTCATCTGCCTGTCTCCCAAACTGCATTGGATGACATATTTTATATACAATTATAATTGGCTGTTAATGATCAAGGCTAAAAGTAGATAGTCTTCCTAGTGAGAGAGCCTGTGGCTGTAGTAAATATAGGCGACAAACCACCGAGGATGAACTACTGTCTTCCTCCTGCCATGTTTATTTGTTTTATTTATTTAACGGATTTCTATACTGTTCAATTAGATGAGCTCTCAGAACAGTTTATAGAATGTACTTTAAAAATCAATAACAATCAATTGAAAAGCAAATTTAAAACAACCTTGCCTGTAATAGAATAACAACATAACAATAAAATTTGACAGGCCATGATAAAACAATGACAAAACAATGTATAATAACATAATAACCATCCCACCTGTACCAAAGAGTTTAAAACCAATACAATCAAAACAGTTAAAGTGGCAAGAAAATAAGAATGGCACCAGAACGTAAACAATCTGGCACCAGAACATACACAACCTTGGTGCCTGGCATATTTCCCTGGAGATCTGATCCCACAGAAGGGGTGCCACAACCAAGAAGGCCCTTCCCTTGTAGCCACCTCTTTACTTCCTTTAGGGGTGGCTAATGGAGAAGGACTCCCATAGATGACCTAGGGGTCTGGGTTGGTGTATATGGGAGAAGACACTCCTTCGATATCCAGGCCCTAAGCCATTTGTGGCTTTATAAGTTAGTATAAGCCCCTTAAATGGGTCTGGACTTCAACTGGTAACCAGTGCAGATGGTATAGCACTAGGCTGATATGCTCGTTTCTACTTGTTCCCATCAGGAAATGAGCTGTCCGATTTTGTACCCACTGAAGTTTCCAGACCGTTTTCAAGGGCAGCCCCATGTGGAACACATTATAGTAGCCTACATGTGAGGTTACCAGCACATGTATTACTATTGCTAGGTTCTGCCTGTCCAGATAGAGATGCAGTTGGTAAATCAACTGAAGTTTGTGGAAGGTGCTCCTTGGCCACAGATGCCACCTGAAACTCCAGGGACAACTCTGGGTTCAGGAGAACCCCCAGGCACCTCACTCTGCCCTTTAGGGGGAGTGCAGCCCCATCCAGGACAGGGCAGATAGCACCCCCCTGGATCAGGGTTGCCCCTACCAATAGCACCTCCATCTTGTCTGGATTATGCCTCAATTTATTAGCCCTCCTCCAGCCCATCACCCCGACAGACATTGGTTCAGCATCTCAACCACCTCACCTGGACTGGATGTTAAAGAGAGGTAGAGCTGTGTGTCATCGGCGTACTGACGACACTTTGATCCAAACCTCCAGATAACCTCGCCCAGGGGTTTCATGCACATGTTGAACAGCATGGGGAGTAGGATGGAGCTGGGTGGCACGTCGTGGCGTGAAAGGCATGGGGCCAAGGTGCTATCCACCAGTGACACCTCCTTGAATTGGCTGGTCAGGTGGGAATGGAACCTCTGCAGGGCAGTGCCTCCAACTCCCAACCCAAACAGCTCATCCAGATACCATGTTCAATGGTATCAAAAGCTGCTGAGCGGTCCAGAAGAATCAACAAGGATGCACTTCCCCATCTTTCTCCCAACAAAGGTCCTTCCACAGGGCAACCATGGCAGTTCACTCCCAAAACTTGTCCTGAAGCCGGACTAAAATGGATTTAGATCATCTGTTTCCCCCAAGAGTCCCTGGAGCTATGAGTTTCTGGGAGCATGTGACTCCCCATTCTTGGGCACAGATTATTGGGCTTGGTGGATGTTTATTCCTAAGCTCTACTTTCTTGAATTGATAAACTGTGTGCCTTGTGAGTAGAAACATGAGTAGAAAGAGGTGAGTAGAAACATCCTTCCTGTGAGTCAGGTGGGGTGAGTTTCACCAAAAATCAGGGCCAATAATTACCTTTTCATGCAGTCAGGAAGTGGCAGTCTTCAAATAGCATCATTAATGATTCTCTTTTTCTCCCAGGAAGTTAACCTTCCTTTTTCCGTTCCTTTCCTCTGGTTTAAACCTTGAACCTCTGTATCTCTGATGGCTTGATGTGCACTGGCTTATACAGTTCAGGAAGGTGCCTCCGTGTTGGCTGCTGGGAAAGGTGAAGACTGCGGGAAGTGTGGGTGTCATTTTTAGCATAACAAGCTAATTGACTCTAATGAAAAGCCACTTCATTATGCCTTTTGGACAAGCAGTTCTCCAAAGTACTGCAGCAGCCCTTGCAAGTTGCCAGCTCCCCAGTGGTGACAGCAGAGACATTTTCAGCCTAGAATCGTGGCAAACAGAGCCTGAAGGGGCTGACACATGAAGCCAAGGTGTTTACTTCCATGCTGAACGGCACTTACTCCTCTCCGGCCACCGCTCTCACCTATCACAAGGCTATCACTGCTGCGCCCTTTAATTCTCCTGTTTCAGGTATGCAGGAGTCGCCAGGGGCCCGTCTCTGTGCTTGTGCCAAATAAAGGCGGGCATGGATGGGAGTGAGGGACCTGAATGTGACTCTCTGGAGTGAAAGGAGGAAGGCTATTTTAGGATGTTTTCAGGCCATGCAAAATGGCTGCATGTTAGCTCTGCTTCTTGTAAACATGAAGTTCATCTGAGTTAATTTCCCACGGTTTGTAGGGGTCTTTTCATAGCTGCTCAGCTAGTAGGCCTAAAGCTACATCAACCCACCATTTGAGGAAATGACTATATAAGACAGATAAGCTTAATGCTGAGAACTGCAGTGGTTAAAACGAGCTAATTGCCACCTGAAAGGTTACATAGCTGTGAGGACGTTGGACTTGGCCTAAAGATCCTTTTGCGGATTGGGTGTTGCAGTTACAGGTGATCCATGGATGGAGATGTAACCATCTGTGCATGAAGTCTTCTGACTTAAGCAGTGTTGTAGCAGAAATAGGACTCACAGGAATGCAGCTGGAACTGTTTGGATTAGCAGAGACACTGGGGTCATCTGCCACCCCCTCAGAATTCCCTGTTCCCTCTTAATTTAGCTACAATTCTCGCAGTAGCTGAGGGGAATTCTTTTTCCCAGCAACAGAATATTGCTCCCTGTTAATGCAAAGTATTTTGGGGTAGCTCGAACTTGAGTGGGCATTTAACCATAGCTTTTCCAAGGCTTAGTGTGGATTGCTGATGCAAATTAACACAACTGCCCAACCTTTGGGATTATGCTCAGGGATCCGGCTGTGGTCACCATCAGCATGAGTCCCTGTACTTCAAAAGGCACTACTTTGGATGGGACGGCTGGATGCCCTGCTGGGACTGGGCACCTAATGCATTTGTGCCCGGGACTCTGTTTTACAGGCAGTTGGCACAGGATTATTGTAGCGATACAGGTGCAGAATGGCTGGAATTTGGGTGATCACGGGTGTAGGACAGTCTTGGAAATTAGTGGAGCTGGCCTGTTCCTGAAACCATGTCAAATTTGGGGAGAGGTTTTTAAAAAATGGAGTGCTGGATATTTGGTCCATTTCCAGCTGGAGCTCTGCCAGTCCTGTAATCCTTTCTGTTGCTCTGAACTCTGCCAGTATCGGCAGGTACTGGGCTCCCAGCCAGGAGGTGCCAGAGGAGCTTTTGCATGGGACAGAAAGGTCCCCGAGAACAAGGAGCGTGTGATTCTGTGGAGCAGAAGTGTTGGCTGTGCTGCAACAGTGATGGATAGATTTAGTTATGGGGTCTCCTGACCCTGCTGCTGTTCCTAGCAGTAAATTAGATAATGGCATTCCCAGACCTGATAGGAACAGTTCCATTCTCTGCAGTGCTGCTTCCCTCATTAGTTTTGCTTTGAGTTGAGCGGATCAAACCCAAGCGGAGGCTCTGGGCTCGCTTCTGCCTCTCTACACCTGCCCTGCCTTGGGGCTGGATGACATGTGGCATAGGGGGAAGGGGTCAGCCTGCACTGTCTGATCCTCAGGGCCGCCAGAAAGCACCAGAAGGCCTCAAAAGCCATGTGGTGCGCACCACAAGAAAAGGTTCTGGTTTGGTTTGTGGTGTGGCAAGCAGCAAGCATTTTGACCTGTTGCAAATGTGAGCCTTTCTTTTCATTCATTCATTCATTCATTCATTCATTCATTCATTCATTCATTTTGGTGGATGAAACTCAGAAAGAAAAGGTCCATACTCAAGCACAGAGGCACCAGGTAGGGGATAGGAAATTGCTAAAAGATTTCTTCCCCCCACATTGAGAACTGGTGTGGTGCAGGGCTCAAGAGTGTGGGACTAGGACTCAAGAGATCTGGGTTCTAGTCTCTGCTCAGCCATGGTGCTAACTAGGTCACTCGGAGCCAATCACAGACTCTTAGTCCAACCTACTTCACAGGGTTGCAGTTGAGAGGATAAGATTGAGAGGGTGTAGAGAATTATGTAAGCTGTCTTGAGTTCCTTGGAAGGAAAAAAGTTGGGGTATAAATATAATAAATAAATTTTAAAAAT